ATGTTTATCTATCTATCTATCTATCTATCTATCTATCTATCTATCTATCTATGTAAATGTATGTAACTGTGTGTGTGCCTCTGTGTGTGTGTGTGTGTCTGTGTGTATGCACATGATAGAAGAACAAATAAGAGATATAAATTTTATATATAAAATGATGAAAAATATATTTCATGTTGTTTATTTAGGGTCCAAAATCAAGTTTTTGGGGAAAACAGGAATACAAGTTTACCCTTTCATCTCAGTGACATTATCGCATTGCTTGGGTTTAATTGATTATATGCACACACACACACACACACACACACACACACACACACATATATATATATTTGTTTAAAATTATAACGGAAGTATGCTATAGTATCACTACAAAAAATAACCATTTTGTTTTAACACTTCTGATGTTTTGTCAAGTGATGATCTTGATTGTAAAAAAATCAATCAACACCATCAGTTGACAAGTCATCACAAGTGTTGAAACAAAGTAGCTCTTTTTGTAATGATGTCATAACATACTTATGTTATAAGTTTTAAACAGATATTATTCGCTCTACTTTGATTTGAGCACTTTAAAAAAAAATAATACTTTTGGGTACTGGAATTTTATTAAATTTATACGAACCTTGTATTCGTATATATATATATATATATATATATATATATATATATATATATATATATATAATTATTTATTTAAAAATATGATTCCAACACGCTACATAAGAGTTCTCATGTTTCAAAACAAGAGCCGAAAACTTCAATATAATTATTTGAATTAAATTGAATTAAAGTACTAAGCTCTGTTCTATCTTCAAGCGAAATTTTTTTTTGGAATAACTTATTCCTGAAATTTACGCGTTTTATAAGCATATTCATTTTTGAAATCAAAATTTCTATGGTAACGGCTAGAGCAATTGTTTAAAGAAAAGGGGCGTAAAGTGTTTTCGGCTCTTGTTTTGAAACATGAGAACTCTTATGTAGCGTGTTGGAATCATATTTTTAAATAAATAATTATATTTATGCTCTACTTTTGTATCGAGCACAATTTTTAAAAAATAATAACAAAAATACTAAAGAACTTTGGATTATTTACCTAACGAGTTCTTTCCTATTTTCTATAATTTTTTCACACACACACACACTCATATATATATATATATATATATATATATATATATATATATATATATATATATAGATAGATAAATATTGTAGGCCAATGAAAGAAATCCGACAATTAAAAACAATAATGTTGATCATAAGACTAATGATATTGTATATTAGTAGCTATTTTGACCAAATAGAAGCATGATGAGAATGAAAAATGTGTGTATTCAGGCAGCAATTCTTCTTTCACGAACGTTTCATTGAATATGACATACAAAGTGCATTGATTTAGTCCTTTTATACAATTTCTCATGTGATCTGATAATTTTTTGTTTTCGGAGGATAAATTATATAAAAAAAATATATACAACAATCTATTTTTGTTAACAGTTAATATATTTCAACCTTGAAAATGCCTGAATGTATAGCCGAAAGCGCTCGGATAAAAAGAACAATTGGGCAGTTTTTATATAATTTATCCTCCGAAAAGAAAAAAATATAAGATCACATGAGAAATTAAAAAAAACTATATCAAAGCACCTTGTCTGACATAATTATTGAAACGTATATATATATATATATATATATATATATATATATATATATATACACAAACATGTGTTTGTGTGTGTGTGTGTGTGTGTGTGTGTGTGTGTGTGTGTGTGTGTGTGTGTGTGTGTGTGTGTAAAAAATATAGTTTTAAGGTGTGCTATATCCATGGGATAAAGTTCTCAATATCAGAGATAGAGCGTAAATTGTCAGGCCGCCTGACGATTGCGTCTAACATGAAACACCCGGTCGCTTCTGAGTGTTGATTTCAATGTTCACTGATATATATATATATATATATATATATATATATATATATATATATATATATATATATATCTTCAGTGGGTTGTCAAAAATCATCTACCTTTTATTCAACTTTAGCAAACATTCAACTTTAGCAAACAGCCATAAATAATTATTATCACAGTCTGTAACCTTGCATTCTTGAAAGCATATATAAAGAAAAAAGTTATTGCACGTTATTAAGGGCTTACGGCCGCATCACGTTCAGACACCAGTTCCCGTATGATGACCGAAGTTAAGCAATATCGAGACTGGTCAGAACCTTGATGGATGACCGCTTGAGAATACCGGCTTGGATTTGCAGCTGGTGTAATCGATAACGGCTCGGATTTGAATGACTGTGACGAGAAATAAAAAAATAAAAATAAAACAGCGATTTTGGTATGCATGGAGTGGGTGGGGGAGCTCATTTGCATTAAATGCATTCGTGTGTTAAAAAGGTGGTGGGGGAAACGTATGTGTCTATGTTGCTTTCATCCCGTTTGTGTATGTTTGTGTATGTATGCGTTCATGTGCGTATATAAGTTCCTCTACGAATTTATCTGTATCGTCAGGTCTGTGTGCATCCTATCCGAAGGCACTTTTTGCTCGCCATGCACCCCAAAATATTTTCACATGATTTTTTTTTTCTCGCCGATTCCAGTTATGGGTCGGCAATCCTAAAGATTTACTGGCACTCAAGAAACCATCTTTATGTCAGAAGACTCGACGAAAAAATGACGAATATTTCATCTTTTATTGTTCGTCGTAAAAAACGATGAAGAATGAAATATATCCTTGTTTTTCCCATTTCTTCAACGCGCAGTCATTATTTTGATTTATGGTCCAAGTGACTTCTCTCCGAAACTATCTTGGTCGATGGGTAAGGCGCGGCTTGATAATGGCTCGTCGAGAATGAGGGGAAACGGATAAGAAGTCTTCATGTCAAAGGTTAGCTGTGAGTCATGGCTGAAGAGGAGGTGGCGGAAAGAGACGAAACAAGCCGAAGTATAAACACTGAATGCAGGTTTCAATGCAAGCGAAAATGACCTGCATAAACATTTTGTTTAAAATATGAAGCTTGATTTTTTTCTTTCCCCGCAAATGGGGTTCGAATCCAGACGAAGCATCGAACTACGGGTGTTGAGAAACGTTTTCACATGATTTCCACTTAGTAATGTACAAGCCAATTAACTTTAAATTTCAAATCGACAAAGATAGATAGCTGAAGAAATCGGCGTGTACTATAATCGAAAGGTCGTAGCTATAACAATTAAGATGAGCTAGTCTGAATAAATAGGAATATATTAACAACTGCTATTTTTTTCTTCGTGTGTGTGTGTTTTTTTTTTTTAAAAAAAAAACGAAATGCAACATTTTTTTTTTCATTTAAAAGGAATCGGAGAGCCGAGTTCTAAAGTCGAATCCATTAACATCAATATTTTTTTCATTTACGGACAGGGTAAGTGACAGACTAGGTTCTATAGGATTGATGGCAACTGTTCTACCACCAGAAAGAAAAAAGACAAACGGAGAGCTGAGTTCTCGAAAATACATGATCGCCCAGTCAACATAATGACCATTGCATTCACTATTAAGTCGAGAGAAAAATAGACGGAGAGGAATGAAGAAGACAAAAGATAAGGATTAACATAGCATTTAAATTTTGGAAGGTCAAAGTTGACTGGGATTAATATTAATTATCGCTGGATTAATACTGTTTGTTAAGATTTCGAAATTCGAATATAAACTCTGAAGAACACACACACATACACACACACATACACACACACATAGCGGAAAAAACACATTTTAAATCATTAAATTTATAATATTAATGCTCTGTAAATTTACAAGCACTATTTTGTAAAATAAAAAATACCTATAAGAACACTGGATTATATATCTTACTATTTCTTTCTTTTTATTTATATACCATATATATATATATATATATATATATATATATATATATATATATATATATATATATATATATAAAGTGAACATAAGTCAACATGAGGCGACAGTCTGCTAGATGCAATCGTTAGGCCACTTTTATCATTATCCTAATAAAACAGACTGTCGCCTCTATTCACCCAGTCTATCTCTGATATTGACAGTACTTTATCCCTAAATATTAAGACTATATTTATTCATATATATATATATATATATATATGGCAAATGTTAACAGCAAAATTCAAATATCATATAAAACAATGGGATAGTTGCCAATCCCACAAAATGTTTAATATGTAAAAAAACACTAAACCAATTAAATTTCTTTTTCCAGGTATTCCAGAAAAAAATTTGTCGTGGGACTCGTTATTCAGTTTTCCCAAATGAGCAATAGTCGAAAAGAAAGTCAGTCCTTCATAAGGGTTCCAACATTCATACACTGTCTTCCTCTTCAAATTCACTCGAGAACCATCAAGAAAAACGGTATCAGGAGAGAGGAAAAACTGGATCAGAAAGTGGGATCATCAACTAAATAGACTCAACCCATAAGTCGTTTGACCCAGTTTCACTAAGCAGTGAAAAAAAGATCAAATGAAATCGTATTTGAAAGGACAGGAGTTTAAAAGGTTAGATGGGCGTGGATCATCGTGAAAAGTGGGAAAATGATCCAGGAATAATATACATACATACATACATATATATATATATATATATATATAATATATATATATATAATATATAGAATTTAAAAATCAACTTCCGATCATTAGTTATAATTAATTAATGATGGGAGGAATGTTCGATTATATCACAATTCTTCTGTTAAACTGGAAGATTCTTATTGCTCAAAGAGTCCAATGCTAATAAAAAAGCTCGGAGAATTCAGTGAAATATCTTTAATCATTTCTAATTTTAAATTTGGAAGGATTGGACAATTTGTGTGTGTGAGTGGGTGTTTTTGTGTGTGTGTGTACACATTTTTACAGTGTATAATCAACTTGATTTCTTTTCAAAAATACACGTTACATTAATTCATACAAACGTTTGGGTTATTAGCATTTGTACGAAATTGAATCTTATAAATGGATCGGAAGATGAGGTTCTCTTCCGCGTTCACCCCTTTAGACAAAGATAAAGCTACAAAAA